ATCCGACTTGATTTCAGCTCAGGTCATGGCCTTGCAGTTCGTGCGTTTGAGCCCGTGTCGGGCTGTGTGCTGACAGCGTGGAGCCTGCTTGGGATTCTCTCTCTCCCTCTCTCTGCTCCTCCCCTGCTTGTGCTCTTCTGTGTGCACACGTGCACGCGTGCTCTCTCTCTCAAAATAAATAAGCAAACATTTAAAAAAATTAAAATGCAAGTTGTTTCTGGACCTCAGGTGTCCTGGAGTAACTGGGGTGATGGCTGTATCAGTTTGCCCTCTCAGAATACTTCTTAGGGATAGAGTATTCCAGATTCCCCTCGCGGCCCCTCGTAGCTAGACGCCACACAGCTGTTCAGAGCCCCGGAGCAAGTCTGACCTCCTTCTGTCCCCTAAACGTGGCAGTGGCTCATCGCAGCACGAGGCTGAGTGCCCTTGGCCCTGGTGGAGGGGAGCAGCAGCATGTGCTTGCTGCCACGCTGACCTCGCCACGGGCAGCTGTGCCTCCAGCGCCCCTCCCGCCCCCTCCCTCCAGGCTTGCTCCTGGAGCACGCACGCGCCTTCTGCCTTTCCTTCCAAAGCAGCGAAGGACTTCAAAAGACAGATTTGGCCCGAACTTTGGCAAGAGCTGATCACAATCACTCAACTGGATGAGAGGAGTTTTAAAGAGATAACGTCATCGTCATCGGTGGGATTTTGAACCGTGATATGCTCACTGGTAATTAGATAAGAGAAGCCAGATCCTTTCTTGGGTACGTCCCTGTCTTGCTACAGGCTCTGAATCACACTGCCTGTGTTCAGATCAACTCTACCACTTCTACGCTGCGTATCCTTGGGCAGGTTACTCTCCTCTCGATGCCTCAGTTTTTTCATCTGTAAAAGGGAACCGTAATGGTACCAATTTTACCGTGTTGATGTGGAGACTGAAAGAGCAAATACGTTGCGTGGGGCTTCTCAGACAGCTGGCCCCCAGGAGGCCCTCGGTAAATGTCAGCTGTTTGTTGTTATTGTTACTTTTTACAGTCAGGGCATCCCTTTTTCCCCCCTGCCGACAGTCCAGCCTGCTTGTCTGCCACTGAGTTTCGGGGCCGTTCTTTTTCTGTGCGTCTCAGTTATCGGGGAGGGATTTTTCGTTCCTGCACCCACGAGGTGTCACGGACCTGGGAGCCATGCCGTGAGGGAACGGCATGACCCCTCCCTCGGTGGTCCATCCGGGGGATAGCAGAGTGGGCTCTTGGGGGCAGCGTTATTTCAGGGCTCAGGGAAAATGACATCTTCTTGTGTCTGGTCAACAACAGCAGTTGGCAGGTGTTTGGGGAGGCCCCGCCCCTGTGCCACTGAGCTAGGTGTTTGTCTCTGCCCTGGACAGAGGCTGTGGGCGTCGGGACTGCCGGGCTCTGTCTGCGGGACTCGGCCAGCACCGACAGAGCGGGGCTTGGAGAACTCCCGGCACTTGGGCTGAGCTGCGGCAGCCGTGCCGGGCGCCCTCGCTGGCACCGGGGAGGTACGTGCTGGAGAAGATGCCACCCCTGCCTTCCCTGCGAGCCTGTATCTTTTGTGAATGGTCACAGAAGCGAATCAACACAAGCGCGAGAGCCTGAAATTGTAATAAGTGCTCTGACAACGACGGATGGGGTGTGTGACAGACAGAGATTCTCCAGGGAAGTGACGAGGGAAGGCCCCTCCAAGGAGCTGCCATTTGAGCGGAGAGCTGAACAAGGACGAGCCAGACACCTGGAGACCTGAGGGAAGGGCATGTCTGCTGGGTGGAATATCAAATGAAAGGAGCGAGCTGGGGAGCAAGGGCGCGAGGGGAGGAGGCCGCTGAGGCAGGCGGGCCAGGCATGAGGGTCTGGTGCACTACAGCGAAGCGCTTACTCCAAGGGTCACGGGAGGCCGTTAGAGCGTGTTGTGCAAAGGCACAAAATGATGTGGTTTTCCAAGGCTCTCTGGCTGCCGCCTGGAGAACAGCCTGTAGGAGGGCAGTGAGGAGGCCAGTGGTCCCCGCAAAGGACAATGTGGCTTGACTGGGTGGTAAATGCAGATGAGACAAGCGCCACCACTGGACCCCAACGCAGGGGACCCAGGGAGCGCCCTAGGTGAGCAGACCCACGAGCTCTGGCTGACGGCTGATCTGGGACTATGCATCACCAAAAGTGCTGGTAGAGGGTCGGAGGGGCAACATGCGGGATCAGAAACGGTGCTGCCCATCGCAGATACTCAAGGGTTAGGAAAACCTGCGGGAGAAATCTCAGAACTTAACCTCTATTTGCAACTGCCTCTCTTGGAAACTGCCAGAAGCCCCGCAGAAACGACCTTTTGGAAACCAACCTGTCGGTAAGTTGAAACCACTTCATTATCATGAGCTCCTCTTTAGTCGGGCCCCACTGAGCACCCAAGGTTGTTCTGTTTGTTGGCCTATTTCATCTGCCAACCACCCTGCAAAGGGCATCATTGTCCCTTCTGCAGGTGGGGAAGCTGAGGCTCTGGGAGGCTTTCAGGCTTACCAGAGCCACAGAGCCGGCCCCACCGCATCTGTCTGGCTTCTGTGCCAGTCAGCCTGGGGGGAGCGGTGGGGGCGGGGGAGAGGGGGTGTCAGCCCCGCCCACCAGCTTCTGCGGGCCCACTGTGCCCGAGCCCCGCCCACCGCAGCCACAGCCCCGCCCACAGTGCTCACAGCGCGCACGTCGTAGGGCAGGTCCTCGTCGAGCTCACCCTTCAGTATCTTCTCGAGGGTATTGATGGAGATCTCCAGGAGCTTCTCGTGGTGGTGGTTCTCCAGGTCCCGGCACTGAGCCATTGTGCAGGCAAGTTAAGCAAAGGTCAGGGATCGGAACAGACCAGGCGCGTCCCGACCCTCAAACCCTCAAACTGCAAGTCTGCAGACCCTCAGAGGGCGGGGCCGTTTCCTCCAGGCAAGAACGGACTTTGAAGGGTGGAGGGGCACACCTGGAGGTGCCAATGCATCACCTCCTTCACAGTCAGTGGTACACATGCACGAAATCCCAGGGCCATCCTGATCCCCACTTCCCCGCCCCCCCAATCAACACTCACACACCTGCTCACCACTGACCCTTGGCGCTGGGTTCTCTCAGAGCCTCTCCATCCAACACCTCTCTCCCTGCCACCGCCTCCTGACTGGACAGCAAAGAGCTGGTCTTTCCGCTGTAGCCTTTTCTCCCAACAGCAGCCAGCACGCTCTTAAACATAGGTAACCGGACCTCATCCCTCCCATGCTATACCTCTCCAGGAACTTCCCACTCTCCCTTGTGGCCTAAAGACCCCGTCTTAGAACTGGATCTCTGTGACCCATCCTCAAGGCCTTTGCACAGGCTGCCTCTTCTGCCTGGGATGTCCTCCCCACTTTTCTGCCTTGTCCCTCTGGCCCACACTCAGGTTCTCAGTGGACCCTCCCTCAGGGAGGCTCCTGGCCCTGATCTCTGTGTGGGCTGCTCACTTACTGCCTCCGTAACTCTGTCTCCTTGCACGACTGTGGACCCAGAAAGGTAGGACTAGGAGGCTACTTCTGGGGTAGAGCATAGCAGTTTGTCCCCTACACGGCAGGGCCCTGAATTCAGGTAGCAGAAAGGTTGGTCATGCCCTAAATGCTCTAACCCTGACATTTAACCTGACGATCTCATTCTAAATGATTTGTCAGTATCTGTCCCACTCCCAGGGTGTGTGTACCTGCGAGGTAGGAAGCAGACAGGGATTCTGGGGTGTGGTCTCTCCGTGAACATCCCTCCTTTGAGAACAAATATGCCAGGCCTTATACTGCAATCGATGGGGCCCCACACAGCAAGCCCGGTAGGTATCCAAACCCTTATGCTAACAAGGCACCATTGTTCTGAGAGATGGGAAACTCCCTCAGACCCTGTGGAACATTCTTTGAACATTCCAAGTAGTTGCCAAATCTCCATCTTTTGAAGGTGAGCTTTTTCTGTGGTGACAAACTAGAGGATTTCTATTCCTCTAACGTCACAGGTCGAGATTCCCACTAAATGGGGTCCTGTGATGGGGTGGATATCATCTTGGTACAGGTATAGATCTTTCTGTACATCAGACTGGGGCTCAGGTATTTCTGGCAAAAAGTGAAGTATTCTAAAGTATGGACTTTTTGGCCATCTCTGCCAACATGTTTAGGGCCCTGGTGGCAGTGGGAGGGGGTAGGTGTGACCCCAAAGGTGGCTACCTGGAAGGGGACCACTTATTTGCATCCTGCTTAGTTGGTGAAAAAGCTTTAACCCTTCTCTGCCTTTTGTTTAAAATGCAGGTGCTGGGGCGCCTGGGTGGCTCAGTCGGTTGAGTGGCCGACTTCAGCTCAGGTCATGATCTCACAGCTCATGAGTTCGAGCCCCACGTCGGGTTCTGTGCTGACAGCTCAGAGCCTGGATCCTGCTTCAGATTCTGTGTCTCCCTCTCTCTCTGCCCCTACCCAACTCGTGCTCTGTCTCTGTCTGTCTCTCAAAAATAAATAAACATTGAAAAAAAATAAAATAAAAAATAAAATGCAGGTGCTTCTCCTCTGGCTCCCCTGGAGGCGTGGGCCAGGTAACCCCACGAGCCAGTAGCGTCTCCCCATGGAGGGTCATCTGGGAAAAGGATATAGGCTTTGGACGTTTTCAATAAAGAGTGCCACCAAGTCCATGATGTTCCTTTCAAACGTGTTTATAGTCTCCTGGAAATGATAAAGAGCACAGTTAACATGAATATTTAGACATGAACTTGACTGACCTATCATCAGAGCAAAAGGCACTCCTTAGAACTTAGCAGGTGCCTGCTTTAATCACAGACCTTCAGGGTAAAGACCAACCACCCTGACCTTCCCAGGTAGATGCCTATGAATGGCCCCCTCTCCTGACCTCTTTCTCACAGCTGCATTACTCTCCAGCCATTTCACCTTACTCACTCCCCCACAAGGTTTAATGCAAAGCTTCCTCCGGGCCTTTGCACATGCTGGTCCCTTTGCCAGGAACACTTGTCCGGGTCCCACCCCTTGTAACCCTCACGTACACACATAGAGCTAACCCCCTTCCTTTGGGCTTCTCGATGATGGCATCTATCCATCACTTCCAGAGAAACAGGGGAGAGAGTTGCTGAGAGACTGCCTGGATCAGTATCCCAGCTCCACCACTGTGTTTAATGTCCTTGGGGGTCAACATCCTCATCTGTGAAATGGGTTTCCTTTGTAGTCCCCGTCTCGTGGAGTTGTGAAGTTTACATGAGTTACTTCACACGAAATGCTTTGCCAGGTGCCTTGGTGATGCTGGCTGCTGCCCCAGACCTGTCACCATCAGTGTGGCTGTCTGCATGCCTACCACCTCTCTCCGAGGCACCCTGCACTGCTGCCCCCCAGGGCTTAGCTGTCCCCCAGGGCTGAAATGGGACTTGAGTGAGGGAGCAATGGAAGAGGTGATGAGAGGCCTGCTCCCCTGTGAGCCCCAGGCCAGGTCATGCCCCTGATCTAGCAAAGACTCCCGGGGCTACAGGGTGGGCCGAGGGCCCTGGGGAATCTACAGCAGTCCGACCCCTGTCTGCAGGCCGAGCCAATTATACATGTTTCAAATGTGTGTGTAAACACTGTTGTAATGAATAAAAATGGGGTCACCATGACTGCACCTTAGAGCTTTTTGGCTGCTTGGTGACACAAGTACGACCGACCATGTACACATCTGGGGACTTTGGGGACGCTGCAATGGGGATCTCCCTGCATGAAAAGGCTGGGAGCCGCTGCCTAAGCCTCCCCCGCCGCTTGCGAGCTGCTTCCTGCAGTGCTTGAGCACTCCCGGTGGGAGCCAACACCTGCCATGTGACGTGATGGGGAGATCTATCCCTGTCTGAGGTGTCCCTTGACATGTGAGGGATTGATTAGGCGCGATCTCTTGGCCTGACCACGGCAGCATCCAATGAGGTTTGATTCATCACAGCCTTCGGAGACCCCAGCCTCGGCTGCCTTGTGAACACACAAGGCACTCTGGCTGCTAAGGAATTTTAGAGAGAGGCGCTCTGCATTTCCGCTGCTTCGTGCTGAATCACAGGCTCCGCGCGCGGCCCTGAGATGTGGCAAATACGCACTGCAATGCGGAGGAGCCTTTGTTTGTCCCAGAGTGGGGGCCTACTTTGTCTTTCAAGCACCCAGATGACTCCTGGGGTCTAATCAGAAATAGCTCTCCCTGCTGAGGCTCTGGGTGCTTCCAGGATAGGGGGTACATTCCAGAGGAATGAGCTCACCTCTACATGTGGGCGTGAGAATCAACTGCAATCTAAGTGACTGAAATATATTAAAAGCAAACACAGGACGGATGAGCAAAGAAAGCTTTAGTCCGCCGTGCTGAGTCACACAGCAGAGGAGCGCCTGGGAGGGCTCCAAGCTAAAATACCATTCGGGGGCACCTGGGTGGCCCAGTTGGTTAAGCATCGGACTTCAGCTCAGGTCACGATCTCACTGTTGGTGAGTTCAAGCTCCGCATGGGGGCTCTGTGCCGTTAGCGCAGAGCCCGTGCCGTTAGCGCAGAGCCCGTTTCAGATCTTCTGTCTCCCTCTTTCTCTGCCCCTCGCTTGCTTGCGCTGTCTCTCTCCAAAATAAAATGAACATTCAAAAAATAATTATGAAAAAAACAATAAAATAAAATACGGTTTTGCCACTGAATCCACTATATTCTCGCAAAGGAGACTGGCAGGGCGCGATCGCATCACACCTGTGCCCCAGGGGCTCGGCCTCACCTCCAGCTGCTCTACCAACTGCATCTCCAGTGTCATGAGCATGTTGAACAGCTCAGTGATGTCCTTGCTGTGTTCCGCTACCTTCATCTCAAGGTTGGTCACTTCGGACTCATCTCGAATGGCATTTAAACTCTGGAAACAAAAGCCTGGGTTTTAGGAATCCACAACTGAGTGTAATTAGTTAACGACAGGCGACGATCGGTTTTGTGGGTACGAATGTGAACTCTGGGCTTGGCCTGTCCACGTTCAAGTGTCGGCTCTGCCATTTGTCAGCTTTGTGGACTTGTGGAAGCTACTCACCCTCCCCATGCCTCGAGGCAGGTACAGCAGATGCCAGCACTAGTCAGTGAGTTCTCGGTCCACGTTAGCTCGGGTTTTCATTAGTGGTGGCTGGGCTGGGTGGAAGGAGCGATGGCTTCAGAGTCGGGTGAACCTGAATTCGAATCCTGTCTGGGTCACTTATCAGCAGTGTGACCTTGAATGAGCCACCTCCACTCTCTAAGCTTCGGTTTCCTTATGTAAAGTGGGACAGAGGTGTGTGTCACAACGTTGTGGGGATTTAGCAGTGTGTATGAACTCTTGGTTCACGGTGGGGCCTCGGCTAACAGAGTCCAATACAAGGTCCACAGCAGGCACAGGGAGACAGAGAGACACTGGAAATGTAAGACAGATCCAGTCTTTAGGAAACCAGTTGGACCCACAGAGCACCCCACTGAGCAAGGGGATGCCAGCGGTGAACAGATGCTAGGCCCCTTGGAATGAGAGGATGCTCACGGGCCGGAAAACACCCTGGGGTCCAAGCCTGGCACTGAATCCCAGACACTCACTAACAAAGGTCCTGGGGACTCGGCCATCAGATGCACTGTCAACTTGTTTCTGTTGATATATGGTATTATTATTTTTAATGTTTATTTTTGAGAGAGAGAGAGAGCAAGGGAGGGACAGAGAGAGGCGGGGAGGAACAGAATCCGACGCAGGCTCCAGGCTCTGAGCTGTCTGCACAGACAGCTTGAAATCACAAACCGTGAGATCACGACCTGAGCCGAAATTGGACGCTTAACCAACTGAGCCACCCAGGTGCCCTGATGTATGGTATCAGTTGGGAAGGAGGACAGAGTACCTTGGCACGATTCGGTGCGATGAATGATATTTATAATAATGGTTACCCCGTCTGGAGAAAAATCAGGTTCAATCCCTACCTCAAACCTTACGTGAAAACAAATTTCCCACAGAGTGAAGATTTAAACATACAAAGTGAAGCCATACAATCCTAGAAGGAAAAATAGACGGACTTCAATAAATAATCTCAGGGTAGAGAAGTCCTTTCTAAGTATAAACCAGAAAAAAGACTGATAGGTTGTACTACATAAAATGTGTAGAAATTTTGAATAGCAAAAGCACCATAGACAAAAAAACGACACGATAAACAACAAAGTGGGAAACATATTTGCAATTCATTTCACTGACACAGGGCTAATTTCTCAATCTATAAAGAGCTTGTACAAAGTAATGATTTCTTTTTAAAGAAAGAGATATAGATCAAAAACCAAACAGAAAAAAATGGATTAGGGCATATTAGAAGAACAAAGAGTTCACAGAAAAAGAAATAAAAATGTTTAGAGGAGCCTGGGCGGTTCAGTCGGTTAAGTGTCCGACTCTTGATTTCGCCTCAGGTCACGATCTCATGGTTCGTGAGTTCGAGCCCTGCATTGGGCTCTGCACTGGCAATGTGGAGCCTGCTTGGGATTCTCTCTGTCCTTCTCTCTCTCTCTCAAGATAAATAGACTAAAAAAAAAAAAAAAAAAAAAAAAAAAAAAAAAAAAAAAAAAAAAAAAGAAACACAAATGTTTATAAAACATGCAATGCCTATCCTCACTTAAGGGAAAATAAACACATGCTCCAAGTGTGCCAGACTGGCAGAGACGAGGAAGACTGAGAGCACCGGTCTGACAAGGAGCAGGCCGAGGGGCAGAAGCCACGGCCTCCGCGGAGCACGGCTGAGCAGTAACTGGTAAGAGCAGCAATACCCAGGTCTACCTCTGGGACTTCATCCTACAGATCAGACTCGCGCCAACTTACCCACTGCAACACTGCTTGAAAGAGCGAAAGAATGGAAAAAAATGAATTGTCCGTCCGTCAGCAGGGACTGGGTTAATAAATCATGGCTCATCCATGCAATGAGAGATGTTACAACTATTAAAAAAGAAGGCAATTCGAGTTTTGGAAGGATCTCTAAGCTGCATAGATAAAAAGCAAAGGGCAAAACAGCATGGTACATTTTCATCTCACACACACTCACACACACACACACACACACACACACAAGGGTTGGACTGACTGTACCCAACCCCCATCTACATTTGTCATTCTGTGCCCATGCTTAGACATGCATTACCTATCTAGAGACTGCCCGTCACAATTTTACGCCTGCTCTGCTCCCTACCTGTCCCCCCCCCCCCCCCCCCCCCCCCACCCCCTACAGTTCTGGGAGGCGGTTACGTCCATTTCTCTAATGAGGAAACGGAAGCCAGCAGAGGGTCACCAGTGAGGGGTCCATGTGAGCATTCTGCTGACCCACTGACCCCAAGCCGTGCCCCGCTGGGCACCAGGAGGAGGCGCTGAAGGAGCCCTGGTCTAGTGGGCGTGGCAGGAGGGGGATAGGACAAGATCAAGAGGTCCCGTGAGGAAAGAGAACTGGGGCCTCAGGCTGACAGAGTCCTGTGAACTTCTAAGGCAGCGGGCTCAGCTTGGGCTAGGCAGGAGGCACCTAGGAAGCTCTGGAAAATCCCAGTGCCGTGCCGCACCCCCTGAGCTGGGGCGTCAGCCCCAGCCCTGTGGGGTCCCTGTGGACTCTGGTGTGTGGGCTGCATGAAACCACTGCTCTAGGCTCTAGGAGAGGGGCGCTCAGGGTAGTCTGCTCATCCCAGGCAGCCTTTGAGGGTGTCGCCATTATGGGGGCCGTGGGGCCCGGTGCCTCAGAAGCCGGGGGAGCCAGCCTGCTCCGAAGAACTACCCCCTGAACGTTAGGAAGTCAGGCTTGGCGCCAGCAAGAGCACAGCACTGGCGGTAGCCTGGTCCGGGTCCTGCTTCTCCAGGGGGATGTGTTGCTGAGGGGGCCGGGCCCAGGCCTGGGAGGAGCCTGCTGGCTGGTGTCCAGGCCTCCCAAACCCAGCGGCTGCAGGCACCAGATAAGAAATGTCATGGAGGGGGCGCCGGGGTGGCTCAGTCGGCTAAGCGTCTGACTTCAGCTCAGGTCATGATCTCACAGTTCATGAGTTCGAACCCTGCGTCACGCTCTGTGCTGCCAGCTCAGAGCCTGGAGCCTGCTTCGGATTCTGTGTCTCCCCGCCTCTCTCTCTGCCCCTCCCCGACTCGTGCTCTGTCTCTGTCTCTCTCGAAATAAATAAACATTTTAAAAAGAAGAAGAAGAAGAAGAAGAAGAAGAAGAAGAAGAAGAAGAAGAAGAAAGAAACCTCAGGGAGGATGTGCCGGACAGGGTCCAGGAGGACTGGAGACGTGGCCTGTCCAGAGGGGACAACTGCCACTGAGGCCCTGCTGACAAGTGCCTCCACAGAAGCTGGCAACCACAATTTTTCTGTGAAATCTTCCCATTTTTAACGTCAGCAGGATGTTCAAAACGTTTTAAAATCCTCTGCAGGCCAAATAAAACACATATGTGAGCCAAACGTGTTCTTCTGCTGACAGGCTTGAACTTCTGGGTGAATGCAGTCACACCCCACCCTAAAACATAAGGAGGAGGGTCTTGAGGGTTAAGTCGCGCAGAATGTGAGGTCGTTGGTGAGGCCGATGAGACGACCGGGGACCGGGGAGTGAGGAGGGCCGGGAAGCATCTGGGAGCTCATTGCCAACACTATTATATCTGAACGTGCATTATCTGGGGATTTTGCTTGACCTTAAACTAAGAGTTCTCAACCTGACGGTGCTTCGTGGGTTCCTTGAAGCCCCTGACACTGCAGGCGAGTGCCCACATACTCGGTGTATGTGGACAGTTTTTTGAGGAGAAAGAAAGTCCATAGCTTTCCTTAGAGTCTCACGAAGATCTGTGACTTAGAACAAGAACCCATCTTTAAAAATAATGCTAACTAGGGGCACCCGGGTGGCTCAGTGGGTTGAACATCTGGCTTCGGCTCAGGCCATGATCTGCAGGTTGGGGAGTTGGAGGCCCGCGTTGAGCTCGCTGCCGTCAGCCTGTCCGCGCAGAGCCCACTTCCGATCCTCTGTCTCTCCTTGCTCTGCCCCTCCCCCACTCGCACTCTCTCAAAAATAAACATTAAATAAAATAAACATGATGCTAACGAGAAGAAGCAAGTCCCACCAAGCGCACATGGTCCTGAGTGGCCTGGGTCCAGCAGGTCCCGAACGACCGAGGCCTGCTTGCTCAGGTGGAGTGCCCTTCCTCCACCACCCCTGGCTCATTTCTCTTTGTCCTGTGAGCCTCAGCCTGAGTTAAGGTCCCTCCAGCAACTCCCAGAGGCTCCCTGGGCTCCCCTCCAGTGTCGTACTGACCACCGCAGCGGGGAGGGCCCGGGTCTGCACCCCACACCATGTGGGAGCTCGCCGAGGGCAGGAGCCACGGCCAGCATTGGTCTGGCTGCCCAGAGCCAGGCACCGAGCGGAGGCTCAGAAAATGTCTGCTAAACGAACGAATGAACCAAAGCAAAGTAGCAGTTCTTGACGTTGCTAATAACAGGAGCGACAACACAACACCATTGTTGACAGTAAGGATGACACCGCCTTAGCCCCCGGGGGCGTTTTAGGTGAAGGGGACCCACAGGCGTCACCCTGGGCTCAGCTCCGGCACGGTGCTGGAGTTGTGGTTGGTGGCACCGGTGGAAGGCTAAACCCTTGGCTCTGCCACTGAGCTGGGTGATTTCTGGCAAACGGGGACAGTGACGGCGGGTCTTAGGGGTCGTCAGAGGTAGAGGGTGTGCAGCCCCTCCAGTGGGGCCAGGCCCGCGGGGTGGGGTCAGCATCTGGAGCAGGAAGCAGGGAGGGGACACGGGAGGGGCAGAGCCTACCAGCAAGTGCGTCTCCTCGAACTTGGCAATCCTGCGTTTACCCTGCTCCCGGTTTTCCTGGATGGCCTCCTGGACACACTCATTGAAGGTGTCAAGCTCCACTTTGCGCTTCTCCTGCTGTTTCAGGCCATATTCGAAGATGTTCAGGCAGACGATGACGAATTTGTCCTTGTAGGTGAGGCCGTTAAGGAAGCTATCTTGGGGCCAGGCTGCTGGGAGGATGCAGGTCGAGGGTGGTGGCAGCTCCTGGCACAGGGCCGGGAGTTGAGATTTGGAGTCTAATGTGGTGCCGGGGCATCCCTATCCTCACCGTGAGGGACTGGTCTCGGGAAGGAGGCAGGGGCCATGGGGGGACGCTACAGAGCAGAAGAGAGACATGCTAAGAAAGGCCCCAGGAGAGGCATCCTGGGCACCCAAAGGGGCCGGGGAGGGGCTGGGAGCCCAGGCGGAGCCAGCCCCAGCCAGCGAGCTGGGCAGTGTATGTTTCTGTCTCTGCCGTGATATCTAGGGGGCCTTTGTTGGGCTCCTGTCTTTGTGCTCAGCTGTTGCAGGGGCGCCGAGGGAGCCTACGAAGCTCAGGGGACCACAGGCTGGACGCAGAGAGGTCCGGGTTCAAGTCCTGGCTCTGCTGCTCCTCCTCTCTGGCAAGCCACTTCACCTGCCTGGACTTGGGCTTCCTCACCTGCAGCATGGAGTCCTTGAGGTCAGGCAGGCGCTACGGCCCAGATGTGAGCCCAGGTCACCCAGCTGGGGGATGGCAGAGCCAGGCCGGGAGCCCGTCTGTCTGGCCTAGAGCCCTGATTGTCACCTTCTGCTTTGCCTCACACCCTCTCCATCCCCTCCCCCACCCTTTCCAAAACGTTGAGTTTTTAAGAGAAAGTTTCTTTCTACCCAGTGATGGCTGCTCCACAGACATACTGTGTGACTCGTTGCCAGTCTCAGCGCTAATTCAGTCTGTTGTGAGTCTAACCTGAGTCCCTCAACGTATAGTTTATGCCAACTGAGGTCATCATGGCTTCGGCCATGACAAGTGCCAGTCACAGCCTCTGGGATCCAGCTGACTGGGGGAAAGGATGCCGGCTCTTAGAGCGACAGACAAGGGCTCAAATCCCAGCTTCTAACTGCATGACCTTGGACAAGTCAACCTCTCCAAGTTTAGCTTCCCCAATTATAAAATGGGATTAATATAATAACAGCACCCATCTGCTGGGCAGTTGGGAAATTATAAACACTGTATGCAAAGCTCACAGCAAGAGAATATAAATATAGGTATTACAGATTAGCGCCATAGACCCACACTTCAGTTTTCCCTCTTTGACAACCTGGCTTGTCGAGCACAGCGGACCCCGTGCCATGCTGTGCGTCCCCTGAAATCCAGGCAGCGTTTCCCCGCGCCACTCAGCTGACCTCTTGGGTTCTCCACTGCCTCTTGGGTACATGGCTGTGAAGGAGGGGTTTTATCTTCTAGGGTTTCGCAAGAGAAATGGGGAAACCGAGGCCCAGAGCAGAAGGGGACCTGCCCCCGGCAGGCTGGTGGTGTGGGGCCCGGGCTCTGCCAGGGGAGGTGACCATGAACTTGGAAGGATATGCCTGAAGGAGCTCGCCGACGCCGGGAAGGTGGGCCAGCTTGTTGCCCTCTACGTCCTCAGCGTACATGCTGTCAAACAGGAAGGAGCCGTTCAGGCGCTCGACGAACGCGGCCTGCAGTCAGAAACACAGCAGGGCTTGGGGGACGCTGATCCCCTGGCAAGGGCTCCATGGGTGGGGCCCTGTGCTGGGCGCTGGGGTCAGTGGACACTTTGCAGACGGTGGGGGAGGGCACGCTGCCCTTGGGCTTTAGCCCTCCAGGAGGACAGGGAAGGCACGCCGGGCCAAGGGCCTGGCACACGCGGAGGTCCAGAGGCATCAACTGAAGGTTGCACGAGGCTCAGCGTGCCTGGAGGAAGGGGTGCGGGTTGTGGGGCAGAGTGGGTCCGGGGTCGTGCCGGGGAAGGACTTCAACCTTCCTGGCTGCCCGTGGAACTGCCCTTTTCTTAAAAGGAGCTGCTCCCTCAGATTGTTTCCCTAGGCCCTCGTGCTGGACCTGGCAGGCTGGCAAGGAGACAAGGCAGGTGGCATCCGGGCGGAGACAGAGCTGGCTCTGTGGCGAGCAGAGCGAGGAGGGGACAGGGCGGGACAGAGCGCTGGCCTGTGGGTGATGTACAGGCTCCGTCACAGCCAGGAGAGGCCACACGGCATACGTTCGCCTTCAAGAGCGGTTCTTGGGGCCTGGGCCCTGCTGGCTTTGATCCAGCTGGGGCCATACCCTGTGGCGGGCATCTTGGAGCCAGGGCAGGGGGAGGTGGGCAGCAGGGCTCCTCCCGACAGAATGTACCTTGTGCTCCTCCAGCTCCTCCCACTGGGCCCGCTCATCATCCAGCTGGGCCTGAATCAGGTTCTCTCGCTGCTTCAGCTCGTCAATGCCGTACTGGTGTTTGATCTCTGCCAGCTCCTTCTGAGGGGGGGATGGGAAGGGGCACTGTTACTGGGGCATGTTTGGTCCCTTCCTCCCGGCCATGCCGGCCTCTGCCATCCCGCGGCCTCTCTAGCGAGGGTGGGGGTGTGGACAGTCTCCTAGTGAAGGCTGTGTGGGCAAGGATGGCTTGCTTCCTCCTGGCCTTTTCCAAGTATGCTGAGTCTAAGGGAAATGAGGGGAAGGACCAACAGCATGGGGGGGAAGGGAGCACAGGCAGGCGGCGGGGATCAGGGCCACGCCCCGGGCAGGCGCACATGCCCAGAGCAGGTGCTCCCGCTCTCTTCCAGGGATGCACGATGGGAAACAGGTAAAGTGAGTTACCCGAGTCACAGGCCTGGTCTCAAGGGCCTCGGACCTTGGCTCTGTGCCCTGCCACCTCCTGGCTCTTCTCCCAGCCCTCCTGCTCATCCCCTTATACCCAGCGGGCACTGCTGGAGCCTGTAGGGCTCAGTCCTCACCCTTCTCGGCTCACTCGACACACCCCAGGTGATTTCACCTGTGCTAAGGTCAAGTGCAAGCACGTCCAATGGCTCCACCCTCAGACAACATGCGGGTCTTTACCTTCAGCCCAGACCCTACCTTTGAGAGCCTCTCTCCCCTAGCTGCCTCGAGAACACTGCCCCCTCACCATGTCCAAGATGGACTTCTGTCCTCCCATGGTCCCACTGAGGTGAGTGGCCCCCCAGCCATCCAGCACCCCGGCCGGAGACCCGGGACACATGTGGGACCCTCCCTCCTCCAGCAGACCCAGGTTGTGCCCTGGCCTGTCTGTGCTAGCTCCTAATCCTATCTCACCATCCTCTCTCTCTGGCCTCGACCCCCGCCTCAGCCCCCTAGCTGGCCTCCCCTGTGCACCGTCGCCTCACCCAGTCTGTCCACTGCTCCCGAGCAAAAAGCCAGAGAAACCTCTGTTAAACGCAAACCCAATCTCGTAGGTCCCTTGCCTGCCCTGTAGGACTTCCTCTTGGCCGTAGGGTAATGACAAGCTCCTGCTGTGGCCTGCGAGGCCTGCCTGCCACCCTCTCTCTCCAGCTCTCTGAGCGCCAGCCATTGGCTCCCTCGCCGCACTGCCTCCTGCCACAGGCCTTTACATGTGCTCTGTCCTAACCCTAGCCCTTCACCAGCCAACTCCTGCTCATCCTACGCTTCAAACCACCAACCCCCGCCTTGTACACCTCCTGGTATTTTCACATATCTGTGAGAGGATCTGTCTCTGTGCGTTGGCACCACAAAGGAAGGTAAGGACTTCCTCGGGGTCTGTTCGATTCCAGATACTGAGCTTTCTTTCGGCTCTCCTGTGCTGCCTGAAGCCCATCCCGTCTTACTCCTGAACGTGATGCGAGTATAGGTATCATTATAGTTTTGTGCCTTAACTCGGGCCTTGGCGGCAAATAGCTTATGTTGCACAGCTGAAATCCTTCTAAAGAACTGTTATTCATTGAGCTGTATGCTTATATTGTTTTCTTACATATTCATACTTTATTTTTAAAATATTTTTAATTCTTTTTTAAAAACTTTTTAATGTTTATTTATGAGAGAGAGCAAGGGAGAGAGAGAGGGAGAGAGACAGAGCATGAGTGGGGGAGGGGCAGAGAGAGAAGGAGACACAGAATCCCAAGCAGGCTCCAAGCTCTGAAATGTCAGCACAGAGCCTGATGCGGGGCTCAAACCCACGAACCATGAGATCATGACCTGAGTTGAAGTTGGGAGCTTAACTGACTGAGCCACCAAGGTGCCCTTATTTTTAAAACATTTTTAAAATGTTTATCTATTTATTTTGAGAGAGAGAGAGAGAGAGAGAGAGAGAAGGGGTGGGGAAGAGAGAGGGAGAGAGAGAAAGAATCTCAAGCAGGCTCCGTACCGCCAGCTCAGAGCCCGATATGGGGCTTGACCCCACAAACTGTGAGATCATGACCTGAGCTGAAATCAAAGAGTCAGACATTTGACTGACTGAGCCACCCAGTTACCCCTACATATTTATACTTTAATAAGGAAATTTAAATTTTTGTTTTTTAAGTTAATTTATTTATTTTTGAGACAGAGAGAGAGAGAAAGCATGAGTTGGGGAGGGGCAGAGAGAGAGGGAGAGAGACAATCCCAAGCAGGCTCCACTCTATCAGCATGGAGCCTAATGTGGGGCTTAAACCCACAAACGTTAGATCATGACCTGAACCAAAGTTGGATGCTTAATTGACTGAGCCACCCAGGTGTCCCAAATTTTTAAAAGTCTTTAGTTTCCGGGCCACCCTTTCTTCTCCATTCCCACAGCACTGCCTTCTCCCTCTCTCCCTCCCCCCTACCCCACCTCATCCCACATCTCTTCTCTATATCCTCTGTCTCCCAGATTCCTGAACTGTGGACCACATCAAGAATTCTGCTGAGAACCGCTCAGGGTTCCCCATGGGCCCTCACCTTCAATCGGAGAACCCTTAAACCCCAGCAGGGCCCTGCTGATTGACCCCTGCCTCCCCTGCCTGTCTCCCCACCTCCCCACACAAAGCCCCTCAAGCTAATAGCACCTGCCCATTCCATGTGGTTTGTGGGGGACTGTCCTCTGTTCCTCAGGGCTGGATTGAGGGGAGGGCCAGCCTTCAGGCACAGTCCAGGGCCTCGACTTAAAAGGGGCCTGATGAAAACAGGGGGAGAGCTCCACAGAGCTGAGAGGCACCTCAAGAGCCTGCCCTTGAACCTCTGTCCTCCCACAGTCCCGCTGAGGTGAGCGGCCCCCCAGTCATCCAGCACCCCGGCCGGAGACCCAGGGAACATCCTGGACCCTCCCCTGGTTGGCCTGTATCTGGGCCCAGCTGTTCTGCTGCCCAAGCCCTACAGCACCAAGAGGCCAGGGGCTTGGGGCAGGCTATGGCTGGCCTCAGGGCAGGCAGTAGTGTGGACAGGGAAGTTTCAAGTGCCCCTGCTTTGCAGAACTCTGCTCTTAGAGCCTTTTACTCATTATTTATCTTGATGCATCTAGGCAAGTCTCTGAATCATGAAAGGAGCCTTTGTTTCCCTGCGGCACAACGGGGATGCCCAGACTGGGCTGTCTGCCCTTTATGGAAGCTTCTGGGGACTGAGGAGAGAATGCTTGGGGAGGGGCTTTGGAACTGTGCAGTGTCAGGCTGTCCCCTGGTTCTACGACGGACTTTGAAACCTACCCCAACAGCTCTCTGGCCCATTCCAAGCATCGGAGCCCGTGATGACTTCCAAACTATTATCTACATGAAGCAAAAAATACTTGAGAGTATTAGAATTCGAGTCTCAGCTTTTGGTGCTGTCACGGGAAGCAGAGAAAGCCACGGTCCTCAGAGGGGCACCTCTCTGACCTCACCCTATCTCTGTGGACCTCCCAGGAAAGCACTGGCAAGCAGAGGGCTCCACACTTGGAAGGTGGCCCTGTCCACCTGGGCGCCGGGGCTCTGCAACACGGTCCAGGCCAGGCAGGGTCAGCCTTCAGACCTGTGGACGAGTCCTCCCTACTCCTGCTGGGCTCTCCCAGGTGCTCCCCATCACCTCAGTGCCCCCAAGCCCAGGCTCCTTTCTCTCAGGAAGGCACCAGCTTCCCGCAAGAAGCAGCAGGCAGGTCAAACAGTCCCTTGGTCTCCGTAGCACCCAACATGCAGGGACATCCGTTTCTGCCACCAAAGGCCCAGGGTATTGGGCCAGGTTCTTTCCTTCCAGTGGGGAAGGCACCCAGAGAAGGATCACACTGCAAAGAGCAAGGGGTGAGCGAAAGGGGGCAGCTCATAGCAGGGGGACAGGAACGCGGCGACCATGGACAGACCAGGCGGTAGGCGGGGGAAGGGCCCTCCTCACTGGGTTCTGCTGCCAGGCTGCCTGGCTCCGGCTCCCGGCCCAACCACCACTGGCTGCGAGCTCCCCGGCGAGGCATCTCGCTGGTGCCAGCCCTCGGTTGGCCAGCTGAGAGCAAGAGCAGGCCCCCCCCCCCCGCCCCCTGACAGGCTGTAGTGAAAGCGACATCAAACAGCAACGTGTGCGTGGCGGACGCGTACGGGAGGATAGTTAGCTGTTCTATTGCTCCCGGGTTCTGCCACGAGCCGCTGATGCTAACTGCTGGCCCTTGCTTGGTGTCCCCAGCTTCTTCATTCAGAATACCAGAAAGTGCCGGGTGGCTGGACGTGGCCTGGAGGGAACACATGGAGGGACCTGGCCACCGTGAGCAGGCACTGAACGGCTAGCATGAGGGTCCTGCTGGAATGGTGCCCACGGGGGCAGGTCGAAGGAGTTAGATCTCAGACGGGCTCTGCCCCAGCGCCCTTTTCCGTGCAGTCTGGAGGGCCTGAAGACGGACTCACAGAGCCAGGAGACCCAGAGGAAGACACTTGCCATGTGGTCGTCGATGCGCCGGAAGTCCAGGTACACGAGGTCAGGAAGGTAGGCACAGATGAACATCTTGTAATCCTCCTCCTCCGCGATGGGGTTTCCAGAGAGGCTGAGCGTCCGCAGGTCCTTGAACCGCCGCAGGTAGATGATCTGGGGGGGAAGAGGGGAGAGTAACCCATCTTCCTGGCTGCCGCAGAGCAGAAAACACCTCCAGCGGCCTCTCCCCTCGTCGCTCTGCCAGGGTCTGCGGCCTGGCCGCGACACCCTCCACGCTGCCTGGGTGACAAGAGAGAAGCAGGCGGGGGCGGAGGGGGGGCGGGTTCCAGGCTGGACGGCTGTCCTGATCAGCAGGCTTGGGTTCAAAGCCCAGCTGTGGGACCTTGGGCAAGTTGCCTAACATCTGTGAGCCTCTGTTCCCTCATCTGTAAGATGGGCATAAGGGTGCTATTATGTGTGCCACAGGTGTTCCAAGGACCAAAGGAAATGAGCTATGAGAAACATTGAGAAGCGTGCCTCCCGCCTACTCCGTAAAGGGTGGTAGTTGTTGCTCCTGTCGTTACTGCTGGTCCCCCAGAACAGGCGCGCTTTTCCACTGTGAACTCTGTGGAAGGGCCAGATCTCTTAAATTAAATGGAACCCAATTTGTAGTTAACCTTGGATTAGCTGGATGACACTGGGACATTCGCTACCTGCCATTTAGTCTTCCTCTACTCCATTTTTAGGAAAGTGGGGGAAAAGTCAACAAGAGAGCTACTGTTTCATTTGAGAGCATTTTCTGCACACCAGACGCTGGACGGTGCAAAAGGTGGGGAAGGAACCAAGCATGCTTTTCCGGAGGGTTCCTCCCAGTCATCTGGTTGTGCAACAGGATTAAGCACCTACCAGGCCTCCGAGGCAGTGCTAGACCCCGGGGCTGCAGCGGCAACAAAGCTCACGTGGTCCCTACCTTTAGAGCAAGGGCTCACATTCTACTGGCAGGGACCAGGAATGCTTTAAAGAGTAAATAAAATCATTACTGTTGGGGGTAAGTGCTGTAAGAATACAAAGATGGAGGGGCGCCTGGGTGGCTCAGTCGGTTAAGTATCCAACTTCGGCTCACGTCATGATCTCGCGGTTTGTGAGTTCGAGCCCCGTGTCAGAGCCTGGAGCCTGCTTCGGATTCTGTGTCTCCCCCTCTCTCTGCTCCTCCCATGCTCGTGCTCTGTCTCCCCCTGTCTCTCA